CAGGATGGATTCGTTCCAGGCAACGTTGAGTCATAGATTTAGAGGGAGAAGATACGCATTGGGTATCACCAGCATAAATAAAAGATTGAAATTATTTAACCGGTAAAGAATTATCACTAGTCTAAAACGAAACAAAGGACGACCTGACACGGTACATCGGAATACACCGCCATCAACGGAGCACTCGTTGGGAAATGAGGACCCCACCAGGACCTTTTATTTCCAATTAGATAGGTATGATTTAATATAGCAACTAAGAGGATTACGAACCCCTGGAGCCTCGAGTTTTACTAAGATTCGTCTATGCGGGACCTTTTCAAAGGCCTTACTAAGAACAAAATAGATAACGATCCCAGATGGATTATCATTACGAAGAGAAGCGAGTAGATTCAGAAAAGACATGACACGTTTCACAAAAGCGATCGGGCAGAAAACCATGTTGGCAAGAGCTTAGAACTTGACTGGCTATGCAGAAATCAGTAAGTGTGATGGTAATGACTTTTTGAACACTTTAGCGATGGAGGAGTTCTATGAACCCCGCGACAATTTTGAAAAAGAGAGCGACAGCCAGCTTTAAATACTGAAATAATAATGGTCGTTTTCCAATAATGAGGAAAGAAATCATTCTCGAGAAAGGGAGAGAATTTTTGCACAGCACACAGGGGAAATCCTTAGCTGTTTAATAAGAGGGCCTGAGATCTTGCCAGTTCCAACGGACTACGAGTTACTAAGCCAGCTACTTTGCTTTTGAATACTTGCAGACGCGGAGTTAATTGTAATGAGGAACGCATAAGATGACAGAGGAATTGAGAGGGTGAGGTCAGTGTCAAAAATAAACATGGTTGTCAAAGAATAAGCTGAAAAATTTCACTCTATTCATCCCCTCTGTAATGGAATCATTGCTTAATTTTGGCAGATGTGGAGTAGCTTGGAGGGACTTAACAAACAACCTGAGACTGTAGATCTGAACAACAGATCTGGAAGGGTTTTCGCCATTAAGCGCTAAAGGCTCCCCTCGTCAGTCACGCGTAGGCCACATTTTAACACTGATTCAAGTATTTCGGCCATTCTTATGTAAACAGATAAGAAGCTTATGGATAGATCCTCTAGATGCTTTCGCAATTGTTAAGTCCGTTTTTGAGAAAGTGTGAAACAGTGAAAGATGCAGCATCCAAGCTTATGCGTTCCTCACTACAATTAATTCCGCTTCTGCAAGTATTCAAAAGCAAAGTAGCTGGCTTTGTAACTCGTATTCGGTGGAATTGACAAGATCTCAGGCCCTCTTATTAAACAGCTAAGTATATACCTCTGTGCTGAGCAAACTATTCTCGGCCTTTCTTGAAAATGATTTCTTTCGAAGGGTCGGCCAAAAAGATGCAGGTGGAAGCGACGTAGGCCAAACATTATTGCTAAGGCCTCCTTATCTAGTTGCAAGTAGTTGGTTTCCGCCTGTGATATTGTTCTTGATGCCAAGGTAATCGTAATCTCCGCACCAGAGGGCATTCGATGCATGAGAACCGCACCTACGCCGTACGGCGACGCATCACAATTCAGTGTGATAGGCTTCTCGGGGTTATACTGAACTAGGACACATGAGGAGGTAAGAGCGGACTTTGCCTGTTCAAAAGCAATTTATTCGACCTCCGACCAGTTCCAGCAAAGACGTTTTTCAAGTAGTCGAAAAAGATGCCTTAGAATTGTAGCCGATTGATTTAAAAAGCGGATAAAGCGGATGACTAAACCCAGAAATGAACGCAATTGACTAGTATTGTTGGGGCGCAGCGCCGTATTCAAGGTTTTGAGGTAATGTTCGAGTGGATGGAGGCCAGTTTGTCCACCCTGAAGCCCAGGTATTCGACCGAGTCGGCAAAGAAAGTACACTTATTTTTCTTGAGTTTAAAACCTGTGCCTTCTAAACGTCCTAACACGGTGTTCATAGTCACTAGATGACTACGGGCAGATGGCCGGTGACCAATATATCGTCAAGATGTGCGCAAACGTGAGGTATATCCTTCACAAGGTTATCAATCAAGCATTGAAAAAAACTGAGAACCGAACTTACTCCAAGCGGTAGTCTTTTGTATCGAAACAAAGCCGAATGCGTATTGATAGTGGTGGCATCTGGGGATTCAGTATCTAGGACGACTTGGTTGCAAGCATTCTTCGGGTCCAAAATTGTAAACTGATGACCCCCTGAGAGGGATGTGTACAGATCCTCGATGCGCGGGACAGGATAAGGATTCAGTTTAATTTTTGAGTTTATTGTCAACTTGTAGTCGACACAGATACGCACAGAACCATCGAATTTAAGGACAGGAACTATTGGGGCTGTCCATTCCGAATATTGCATGGGCTTCATAATATCCGTTTTCTGCGGACGATCCGGCTCTTCTCCGACCTTCGGTGCGACTGCACAAGGAACTGTAGAGCTTCGAAGAACTGGAGCCGGAAATCTGACTGAAATGGGAATTCAACGGGTGGGCCGCGGTAGTGGGTAGCAGAATCGTCACGAAATAGTTCCCTATGATTTACCCAAATGGAATCTAACGCCCGCTTTACACCAATCCGATGCAAATAGAATAACTCAGAAGACACACACTTAATCCAATTCCGCCCGAGGAGATTTGGCTGCTGGCTTCCTCTCACCAGCTGAACCGGCATGTAATGAAGTTCTCCCTCATGCTCGACTTCAGCTGTAAAGACCCCTTGAACCTCTACGTTCTGTCCAGTGTAAATACGGAATCATGAGCTAGCCGGGGAGAGAGACGATAGTTTTTTAAGAGAGACCTGATTCATGGGTGTAATAGTTGAGTCAGTGTCGATTTCAAACTTCACTGGATGGCGATCAACCGGAAGAGTGATGGCGCAAGGTGATTGGAGCGGCGCGTCGGCCGAAAACATTCGGGGTATCTCATCGCCACCTCCAGCTGGATTAGGGTAGGTCGCATACATGTTAGTGTTCGCTCGTCTTTTGGAGAAACAAACCCTTTGGATGTGGCCGATTTTCTTTCAGAACTGGCGTACCGTCTTCTGATGTCTGCAGTCTGATGCATTGATTGGATTCTCGACGCATTTGACAAAACCGAGAGCGACTGCAAAAAATGATGTCTTTTCCTCCCCACGCTGAGTCGAGTTTTGTGAAGGCCGTCTGGAGATCAGTAGCCTGCTGTGAATTGAGGGCATCGAAATATTGTTGTCCCAACTCTCCAGGATTCGTGCGGAGAAGGTTCAACTTAGATTGGAGTCTAGTACAACCTTGGGTGACAAAATCGGAAGTTGTTCAATGTAACCCTCAAAGGGCTCGTGGTTGCAATGGAGGAAAACATTGAGGATTACATTGAACTACTTCCGCTTGGTCCAGCTGCAATGGCTCCCCGTAAATTTAGCTTTTCTGGCACTCCCACTCCACGGGATCCGAACCAGGTGCGACGGCACGAATGGGTGCGGCTACGGCCGTGTCAGCCACCCTGTTATTTTTGGTTAGATCCTGGTTATTAGCTATGTGGAGCAGGGGGCGTGGAGCGTCAAGGTGCGGGTTCGACCGTGCCATCCACCTGCGTCCTCCCCGCCTCCGATCTTATTGACTGAGTCTTGGTACCGGGTTCAGGTGAGGTAGGAGAGAGTGTGGTAGATGCAGCACATGTATACACCCATTATGAACTAAATCACGCGCAATTCCCCGCGCATGCTTCACCTTGTTGTGGAGCTCACGGTGGACACGGTCGGCAACGACGGTCAAACTGCCGTATGTTAATCTGTGATGAGCACAATACTACACTTGAACCAGTTTCTCCCCTTCGTTTGCCTAAATTCCTTCAACGGTCTGGCTTCAACCAAGTTCACGCCGCTGGCGAATATTAGAAACATTCTATGACGAACCCAAAAGAGCTCCTATGCAAGAGAATACAAACCCAGCGAACACTTTCCTCGGTGGATTAGGTACGCAGTTGTATGCACAGACGGCCTCTTTTTTAATAATCAGCCCTGGCATAGGCTCAAAATTGCATCCTAACCTTCCATAGGATGTGAATTCATTTACAGACGTGGGAATCGTAACAACCGTCAAACCCTCACCAATAAAGCAATGGCGACGGGGTTTTCTGAAGGCACACAAAGTAACCTTTCTCATTTGAAAAAAGATCGAAAAAGCCTTTTGAGTCAAAATGGGTGTTTTTGAAGAAACGACCATTCGGCTGTGTCCGGAATGTTGTCTACAAACATGATTCCTTTGAGAGAAAATTTGCCCACCCATTTCTAAGCCGAGAATATGCTGAAATTGTGGAACGACTCAGCCATCTTCCAACGCTTCAATTGGTTTAACACATGTCTTTACTGATTTTTTGCATTTTTCGAAAAGCTCTCGCCTGCCTCTGGTTATTTTCCGTTTACACCTATGTTTCCAGATTTCGTGGCTGGGTCTGAGCTTCGGATTTTTGGTTTATTTTGCCAGCTGTTAATACCGTCAAGAACCGTTTTATGCATTGTATAGATATCCCCTACTTTTTGTGCAGGTGAGCCCCACGCCATTGTTTTTCGGACCTTTATTTATTTTTCTCAACTTGCAGTGCTGCGAACAGTTGTCACCTACTCTTTTTGCTACCCCGCCCTCAAGGCCATCTTTAGATTGCTACTAAGGACTTCAGTTATTAATCTGTGTTCGCCACCGCAGATGTTCGCAGGAAAGTACCCTGCTATTTGATATTATACGGATTTTAGTTACTCATGGACACACATGTGATGGCAAATACTATTGGGTAACATGAGTAACCCTGACATGTTACGCCATTGTTTGTATGTCCATAACCCCCTTCTAATTTTTTGCCGATAACCCAATTGTCATGTTTAGGTCGCACTCACGGGCGGATTCTTGTATAAAGGTCGCAACATATCAGGGTCTTCGGATTTCTATATAAACCTTTTACTCTAACTGAAACTCTGAATGATTGTTGTTTAAAGCGACTGACATCCGCTTGCCTCATTCTCCATTGACTACGGTAGGTATGCGCGGCTCGGCGTCCCCCACTCCGAATGGCTACAGACGACAAGAGTCTCCTAGATCAAGAGGCCGCAGCAGGTCTCGGTCAAGGTTTGATCTGTTAAAACATGTTGACCCTCGTCTTTCAGGTCCATAAGTCCGAAGGGTTCCCGCAGGCGGCGCAGCAGCAGCCGGGATAGGTCACGTCGCTCTGGGTATGTTCTTGCATGATAAAATGTCTTGCTACCATAGTTCGGATTTTTTTGCCCCTACCATAGTGTTTGTAGGCGTTTTGACTCCATATAGCACTTGTTTTCTAGTCCTTTCCCGAGGTCTAGGGTTTTGCTGGTTTACGAGGGCCTCACTATTCGTTCCCACTATGCCGACACGTTCGGTTAATTCTTATCTAGCTGTCTGCCTCTTTGTCTTGGACCACAAGGCAAAACTGTATGGTCGGAGGACGGAGTAAACTGCATTCGATTCCCGTTTATGTGCAGTGCCTATTTGTAAGTTTAGTCAGATATCACCCGGATGGTATTCATCTGACTTCGAGGTTGGGCGTCCATGCACTAACCACACTTTCCGGCAAGCTCGCAGTACTCTGCCAGCCTGTTGCCCATTCTCCATCATCCAGGGATGCCCCTGCCTTTCTACTTTTTGGTCCGTCTTGTGTGTCAGGTCCGTTGGTAGATGTCACTATCCTCCACTCATGGACGTGGTGAGAAGTAGAGGTTCTGGCCTATTTTAACCCAAGTGCACCTTCAGTCATGGCGGATCTCCACCATAGTCCGCCTCCGATCGCGCCTACAACAGCCGCCCTTGTCTCCGGCCTCGACGTCCTACCAAGCAGTCGAGCCCTAGGCCTTCCAAACCACGATGCAGTTGGTTGAGAGCAGCTAACGTGCTGGAAATGACCATTCCGGTCTCCCTCACTTATCAGTAGTTCTACTAAATCGCATGTCGCCATGCGACAGCCTGCTGGGGTTTCGTGGTAGTATTCCACGACAAAGCGGAACGGGCGCTCTTAACTCAAACCAATGAGATACTACTTCTCATGGATTTCCACTCCAACCCTCTCTAAAGTGATTGAGGCAACAAAGTCCATGTCCAGTTAGTTGCCGCGCACTGGTCAGGATTCATTTTGCATTTTGTGCGCCCAGTACCCGAGCAAACGGACCACAATGGAGATTGTTCCCGTTTCTTACCCGAACTAATAACTGTACATTCCTCTTGTAGAGGCTATAACAGCAGTTATGGCTACCGTCGATCGCGTGATAACCTGAGAGACAACCCAACCCCCTCCCGATGCCTGGGTGTCTTTGGTCTGTCACTTAACACCCAGGAGCGGGACATATATGACGTCTTTTCTCGCTATGGTGAAGTGGAGGACGTGTGCATCGTTTATGATAACTACACCGGTAAGTTGTCATTTATCCTTCATACTGTAGGTCGCTCGCGGGGTTTTGGATTTTTGTACTTCAGGCACCTGTCCGATGCAAAGGAGGCCAAAAACGATGCCCATGGCCTGGAAATCGATGGGCGTCCAATAAGAGTCGATTACAGCATTACGGAACGTGCGCATTCGCCTACCCCGGGTGTTTACATGGGCAGGCCCACAAGGTAACCAAACATTGTTTTCTTAAAACCTCCCGACAGGCGTTTTGGTGGCCGTCGCCGAACCCCTTCTCCTCGGCATCGGTATTCTCGTTCACGCTCCAGGAGTTATAACTGAAATGAGCAGTGCATTTAATAACTGGTGAATTTGCCGTGGTCATTCCCGAACAGGCATGATTTGTGAATATCCTGTTCAGGTATGCGCGTGCGAAGCTTGCTGTATTTAAACCAAGACTAGCGCGATGTTTTCCGTTTTTTGACTTTGAAGAATAAAGCATGCCATTTTCTACCAAGAATTTCGATGTTTATCTTTTTCTTTTGCAGTCAGGAAGAACGTTTAAATTTGAATAAGAAGTCAGAAGATGATCTGGGTTAGAATTCTTGCGTAGAAGAGGACGAAGAGAACCAGTAGATGAAAGAACTAATGAAAGCTCGAGTAAATGACAATATCCACAGGACTAGGGCCCGGTTATGGAAGAAATCGGTCACAATTTCGCTCGAACGCACTTGAACGTAACGAAAGAAACCTACAAATTCCGTCCGCCTTGGTCGTCGTTTGCCGATTGGTAATCTTCTTTCAAAATTTTTCATCTAAATGAACAAATAGAAGTCAAGTTTATTTAGGGAGTAGATATGTAGACATTACTAGATCGAAACGCTTAGGCTGCCTCATTTAGGTTAGGTTGATGCTAAGGTGTGTGCGTTCTTTTCGAGTGTCAGGTCCAACTCGTTTAACATAGTACATCCTAAGGGTAAATAAGCGTGTAACTGGTGCACTCTTACTGCAGTTGCTTGCAAAGTTTTGTTGTGGCTTCTGCCTAGCCGATTACTGTTTTATGTTGCCTTCACTGCTGAGCTTAAATGTTAACGTAGTTTATGCTTTTTCACATATATACCTGCACTTGAGTTTTGTTTTAGTTTTCTAATAAATCTTCGGAAACTGGGTGTTTCATGTTTTTATTTCACTGTTATCTAGTTTGGGGTTAGGTTTGGCACTGTTCTTTGTTTCATATCGCGTCAGATTTTCCACCACAGGCAACACGCTCCCAAGTCTGTGTTAACGTGCAGTTGAGAACTTGACTTGCTTTTGCATTGTGGTTTGTCCAACAGCGGCCCGTTTCCTGTTCCGTTGGTTCTGAGCTTCAGTCTCGTCCTACCGGCTGCCTTCTATTGGTTTGGAGGCTACCCGGTGTAATCGTGGCTTCTAGGGTGTGTACCCAGGGCTTGTGGGGGTTCCTCGAAATCCTGATAATTTTAGGTCGTCAAATTTAGCGCAAGCTTGCAACTAAGCAGCCGTGGTAGGAACCGTTGTTTCAAACCAAGTATGGAGCCGTGCAACAGTTGGCCGTTTTCCGTGAGCCGTAGAGTGTGCGGCGATGCGCACAAGTTTTACGTTTGAATTCGTATGGGCTCGAAAATAGATACCAACGCGGTCCTCTTTGTCCGTCCACATACATGCTTCTCTCTGGCCTCTGTCGGCCACCGTCCTGTCTAGCAAATCGATAAGGGAAGTTGTTTGCGCCTCTTGCGGCTAGAATTTACCTCGACAGTGTGAATAGTGCCTGCCGAGTCCTAGTGGGTGCAGCATTCGGTCGTCATGGGCCTTCAGGTACGTGACCGGGTGATTAGTGCCGCTTATCACTTACTGCTTATGGACCCTGCCAGTTTGCCGGGTCGCAAGGTTTGCCGTGCCCGTCAGGTCAGGTTGGGCGCAACGTCTAAGTCGTGGTCTGGAGGTAGAGTGCCGCCAAGTTCGCACGGTCGCAGATCCGGCAAACTAGCGCCTTCGGGTTGGCCGCGGGATGTCAGTCACCAGTAGATTACTGCACTCGCCGTCTTACCGATTTTGGCCTCGCCCGAAGGGCCAGGACGGAAACGGGAGCCATGCCCTACGTGACAGCGGACGTTGTCACCGAGATAGGCGTAGTTTAGAGCTGTGCCCTGATGCTAGGGGTGACAAAGGAAGCGCGGGGTTGTCCTGCACTTGTACAAGCTATTTCAGCGTCGGGGACAAGGATGCCTTCCGTTAAAGGTGTGTTAGCAACCATCCGTTAGGCGCGGTTGCCATCAGCGGTCGTCGCCTCGGCCATGTATGACGACGTGGTAGGACAGTATTGGTAGCGGGTGGTGTGTCGACGTATCGATTCTCTGCCTGGGCTAGTGCGATCCTCAAGGCCTGAATGGCTGGCTATCATGACCTTAATTACACCGTCGGGGAATCGTGAATGAGCTCATGCCTGGGAATAGTCGCAGGGCCAACTCGGAGAGTAATCGACCCCGAGACAGCGGCGGATTGTGACCCACTAAGGTGCAGTGAGGTGTTTGGCTCTATCCGATCACAATGCTCTCCGGCTGCCTGTTGTTGGACCAGTCATTGGTTCACAGCCCGTCTGGATTACTGGGAACCTAGCACTGGGCAGCACATGGCCCATGATTTTCTGCTGCGACTGAGTTTGGCGCAGCGTGGCGCCTGAGTTAAAGTCAGTCCTGGTCATCGGCTACGCTTCCCCAGATTAAGGCTGAGGAAGGTATATGCTGCCTTCTTGAGCGCCTGCTGCCGCGCTAGGTGGGGGATCACGTCGATTTGCTGTTTGGCGGGCGGGTGTGCCAGCGTGGGTGACAAACCTAGTCTTCGACAGAGCTGGCCGGCGCCCTGCAGGTCCCTCTCTCCGGCCACTTCTTCATCCACAGGATGTGTGCGCTTATTTACCGCTCCACAACCGTGAAAAACACCAAGATGGAGGGGAGTGTCGCATCAGGCTGGCTGTGCCGATAACTGTCCTGTACGACTTTGTACCTGAGGAAGCGTAAGCAGCCGCTGATTGCATTGTAACTGCACAGAAAAACGAGGGCAACGTTTCAGAGGCAGAGGTCCCGATAGGGGTCTAAACTGCGAAGCAGGGTTACACCCTGATCCCTGAAGGATTAGCGGCTGGTCGTTCCGCCTGCCTGGGTGGTGCTGTTCTATGTTAGAGTAAGAAAGACTTCTCACACATGCAACGTGCTCTATCTGCCGGTGTGTGCTTTCTCGCTGCAAGATTCAGTCAAGAAAATAGTCGAGTCGGAGTTGTTTTGCTCTACCGCTACCGCTGCGCCTCCTCTGCAATACTGCCTATCAAGAGTTAGTTGACTCGCGGTGTCCATGCCACCTATTGTGGCATCGGCTGGCAATGTCTCCTGCACAGGGCCTCGATGTCGACTGTGGACATCCGCCGACTATGCGATGCAAAGTTGTCGTCCGGACTTCGTCTATCGACTGGGGACCTGCGTGCAACCTCATCTTATTGAGTCCATGTTTGAACAATTATTGCCTTGTTTGCCAATCAAACTGCACAGAGTTGGTTAAGACTGGTCCGGGAGTTTGGTCTGCGATGCATGAGCCGGACTGGTCGGCGACGCTATGGGCCAGTGTTGGAGGGCCGTCAGGGACCAGTCCGTACTTCCACGTCCCTAAGGCCTAAGTCTGTACCAAGATAGTCTGCAGTCCCGCCCCAGCGATGCGTGCGGGTATGGGGATCCAAGTTCCCTGCTGACCCGGTTTCGGGAGCGCCCAAGGTGCGCGCACCAGGTATGAAGAGATGCAAGACGTCTTAAAGGAAGTATGACGTAAGGAAATTAACCAGCCTAGCATTCCTCCCCCTCCCCCCCCCCATTGAAATACAAGTATTACAAGATGGACTTAGGGAATTTGGAATCACTGCGTGAAGCTGGCGTCTGCTTTGAATCTCTGCATATTTCGTAGGGTCCATACTAGAGATTTTTGGGTAAGTCTCAGGCGTGACAAAAATCATCATGGCTACTTTGGAGCTCAGGGCCCGCACTGCACCCACCCTGCGCAAGCAGCCCACGCCAGGTGAAACAAGTATATCTGGGTACGAGGACGATCCTCTGTGTGGATGTGCCCATCTTATTCTCAAAAATGAAAAGCTATCTATAAAGATCGATGAGCTAAAGTGGCTGGTGCACCGGAATTTGGTGTTTAATGGGAGATGAGGGCCATAAGTGCGAAAGGCACAAAGGGGCAAAGATGATAAAGACCGCGAGAGTTAACATGGGCACGTGGGCAGTACTAGCTGCACAATATCGGTAGGAAAATCTCCAACAGGGAAAAAATTCTGCATCAACTCGAGTGGAGGCTTGCCAACCGCAGTAAACTACAAATACCCAGCGTGACAGATGAGAGCAGTAATGTCCATTTTGTTGTCCTGAGGAATTATAGTTGGGGACTCCTGTCATACAACAGTGTCGAGGTGGAAGGTATGGAGGGATACGGTGTAGTCCATCACGCCAGTCGGCCCAACCGGAGTTGCGTGCATGGAACTAGGCCTATTGTATACGAATGGCAGCATGTTATTGTAGCTTAATTAATTAAAACTTACCATACCGAACTAACACCAAACGTAGTGGCAGCAAACGAAACGTGCCCATGCAGAAACGTCACTGACAGTGAAATAATATTACCCAGGTACCTAATACTTAGGCTGGACGGAAAGACTGTCACGGTGACCGGCCAACCACTTATGTGACGGATGTCCTAATTGCGCCCTAAGATTGCCGATTTTCCTGCGACACGAAAGTTATTTGATTATAGACACTATTGGCACCTTGACTCATGATATGCTTACTGTCCTCCAAGCGCAGACTAAGTCGCTGACGTGTTAATGGAGGGAGGGCTTCCTAAGTCGACCGACTATAATGATCATGAACGGATAAAACGGCTTGACTGGAACTCCGATCGCGCCCGATGTTCAGCATTAACCATCTACCCATCTCGTACTAAAGTTTGAATACGTTACTCAAGGGGGAGGTAGTTCCGACCAGAACACGAGCTTTCTTAGAACCGAAAGATACTGATTCTTCAAGCATAAAATCTGCAGGAGACGTGATTCGCTACCAAATTAGTGAGAGAAAGCTTATTTTTCGACATGTTTTCTATAAGGATATCGAAAGTCGGCAGTAAAAGTGCGGGCGACTTAAGTAGCCATCTGGGTCGAGTAGAAATGCATTCTAAAGCCTGCTGAATTATCTTGGGTTTATGCTGCACGATGTTCAGTATGGCATCCCGAGTGGAGTACTTCATAGTCGAGAACGTATTTCATGCCTTCAGTTGGCATTTCATGTGATCGGTCACTGTAGGTGGAAGTTGGTTTGCGAATGAATGAAGAAACCCATCACTTCTAGTCGTGTTATGACAGGGTTTCTTCACTCACCGCGTAGCAGGATCGACTAAAAGCCGAAGCGCTGTTCCCGATAAAAGACTGCTGGTAGAGATAGGTAATTTCGACGAAGACTGGGGCCGTACTTAAAGACTGGAAGCAAGCTTAGGTTGGCTCCATACTTGAAGCCATTTTCCCCGCTATGAGTTCAAAAAGGGCGTTAACAGCAGAATTTATGAGTACCAATAGATTTTGCGATAGTTCTTCAACTGCCATTTGTCAACGGAACATACAGCAGGTTAAATTTGTGCGAAAAAATAAATGCGGAAACAGAAATGTCATTGTTCAGGGCACACAGTCTAATCAATGGAACTGACAACCTAAAAACGACGAAAGGGAGGGGGAGGGCTAACAATGCAAGAAAGAGTTGTGTCAATCAAAGCTCCTAAAACGTAAATATTGATTTTTGCACGTATTCTTGCGGTAAACCGGTCGCCAGGCTGTACCATCGTCTTGTCTAAACATTACGCATTCCGAAGAACGAGAATCATATGCTATATTGAGGGTGGAACTGACCTATGTGACCTCCTAAGCAGGACGTGCACATAGGTACCCCCCCTCCCCCCCGCGAGTAATAAGGATGGACCTGCGCATAATCCCGGAAAGGACAAAATATTCCCGTGTCCTAACCCTGTCCTCAACATAACTTGGCAGTTAACAGTAGTTCCTACCTTAGCCCTAAGCTTGATTCTGACATACCTTTAACTGAAGTTGGACTTTAATTTAGGTGTAGCCTTACACATAATCCTTAACCCAACCCTAACCTAAAGCCTAACCCTTATTTCACTGGACGTTCCCTAATAGCAGTGAGTCACGAATCAGATCTGAGTCGGAGACGGACCGAAGCGTCAGTTTCGATCGGCCGGATCCGAATCGGATACATGTTCGTCAAGTGAATTGGCTCCGACGTTTCGTAGCTCAAATTTTCATCCGAACGGCGGCCTACTTATATTCGCTACCAGCGACCCCCACCCCACCACCCTGGTTTTGCTGTTTACCACCCAGTTTATTTATAACTGAAAGCATTTAAGTAAAGCAAGAAAGGTTGTCCCCTTGGAAAATGTGAAAAATTTACTTAAAATGTAAAACATGTGCAATGTACAAAAGTGCAGTTTTTTGCTGCGCCGACAGCCCGGTCTCGCCATCTCCATGTTGCGAATCCGCAAACAAAATATGTACGAACATTAAGCACTAACCAAGTAGACGAAAAAGACATACTAGAAAGTTATTGCTCAAGTGTATTGTTTGCAATGACTGAATTTTTACTGTTAGTTTCCATATCCATATGTGAACTTTGCAAGTTTTAAAAAGTTTGAATATTCGATTACTTTGAAAATATGTATGCTACATGTACCTTATAGGTCATATTCTGAATAGACTCGCAATTTGTGTTGGATTTAATACTCCGTTTAAGTAAGCCATCGTATGTCCGTTTAAAGGCCTTCTTAGTGCCCTTTCCAACTGGTGACGGTCAGAGCGCTGTTCTCGATTCCAGTTGTTGAAGACCTCTGTACTAAATTTCATAAGTTTACAGATATCGCAGATCTTACCTAGAGCCAAATTATAAAGATGCGTTCCGAAGGACGGCTTCATTCCCTGTCGGCGACCATAGAAGGTTACATAACAGGTTATTCTTTCGGAGAACAGCGCTCCGAAAATTCTATCGACAAAAGACACAACCGTGTCCCCGCCAAGAGTAGACAAGTACATCATCTAGAAAAGTTGTGTACAGTTTCGTCACATAACATACCAGTTGTTGGCGATATGAATTATCGCCGAGGGCACTGACGAGGACGTCCAGCTCATCCAGGGTCTCCATCTGCGTTAACAATGGTCCGGAGGGTGCAGATGTACAGGTGGAGGAACCCCGGAGGCCTTGAAGCAGATCCATCACTGTTACCTTTTGATTACGTAACTGAGCGATCTGGTGCAGCAGTACTGCTTGCGACTCCAAAAGCCATCTCATGCCTCGTCGTTTACAACGCTGCTGCCCATGAGCATGTGAGCGTCCTGTGCGCCTAGGCGTACTAAATGGGCGACTAATGCCTAGAAAGGTCGCATAAGGAAAATGGAAGCTTACCCGCATACAGGTGGCACTAGAATCCGTTGCCTCGCCCTCGAATTCCTATAGCAGAAAATCTGTAGATAACTGATAACCTTTCCGACGGGGATGCCCACTCTGGCATATCGCCCATCACCCAAGTGATTGGGTCATGTGGTGTTTTAGGATTCCTCCACTGGCGTCCATTTTCACTCGGCGGAAGTTCGCCAGACATGGTTGTCTTCAACCCAACAGGAAAACAAGAGGTTAGTGGAGGGAATGCTATTTAAGTAACTACCGCCTCCATTCACAGTCCACGAATCAATAATTGAGGGACTGTTGGGTTGTAGGGTTCGTGGATAGTGACTGATAAACGGTGGGAGCAACAGTGAAACTGACCTTGTCTGCCGAGAATGAGGGGAAATGACCGTCCATTGTCATCATCATTTCGTCGATAGTGCCTAGCCAGCCACGCACTGCTGATAGTCCGCGTCCAAACGTCCGTGGATTTCCACAAAGACGAACTCATCTTCGACTGGGAAACAAGCGTGCTTACGCACCGACATCGGCATTGGGAAGGTCTTGAATACACTTCCTAAAGTAGCCTTAAAAGTTGAAATTTGCGATGACCTGATAGGGTGCTAAAAATAATCTTCTAAGTCATCGTACTCAACATACACTACTGAAACGATCCCAGATTGATATCGGAGGATGTTGCGGATGTAAACTAACATACCGTCGACCACGACTGATCCGTCAGTGGGTGTCGTTCCGATTAGTAGATTATTCGTCTGAATAAACCTAAACTGTGTAAATGAGCCATCCACTTCTGGCACTGGGCCATTTGAATGTTCATACTTGACAATTCAATACAGTGGGCTGCTTATTGCCCGACAATCACCATGCATTTCAGCTAACCTGCGTACTATTTGCTGCAGTGGCTGCGATGGTTTTCTAAGCATTCGCTTTAGTTTTTCTATGGAAGTTTCAAATGCGAACGAAGATAACCTATCCAACTGGCCATGCCGTAGGACATAATCTTATGGGTGGACAATACTGTGAACATTATACACCATTTCGAACCTACCATCTAAGGACGGAAGTTTGTCAACAAATATACGCAGCAGATGCCTGCACTAGGAAACCCACTATTTGCAGGACTGCGGCCGAACCATACGACAAATAATAAGAGATGCTTCATATATCTACGGGGAAGAATATCGCGCATGACCACCACACCAGTGTAAAGCAGAAACTGACGCAATTCCCTGCCTTTCTACGTGTCTACCTCACTTAGAGACCTAGCACGCTGCGAAAGTGGTCACAACAGGTACGCATTGAGCGATTTTAGCCTTTCATTAACTGTACTTATCGTGCCCTACACAACCCCAAAGGCATTTCCCTTGGGCTTCGAAGCTACAAGTTCAGCAGCGTCCTCATTACACCTAGATAAACTAAATTAAGAGGGTTTAGAGGGGAAGAGCTTATCATTTCAAGGTTAAAAGCTAGCGTGGGTGAAATACCAACCCGGTGGTAGTCAACAGGGAGGGGATGTATAAAAAGTCCTCATCCACCCTAGCACGATCTGAGACACTGTCATAGACTACCTTGTCTAAGTATTTCCCCATTACACAACATATTTCACAACCATAATGCGCATTAACGTTCTTAATTTGTTTTATAAATGCCCTAGCAGGCGCATGACAGATTACGGCTGCAAGGCGGAACGGCAGGGTTCTGTGGATGACGTCGACACGCAGACCACAACTACCTAGGATTAATAACTCTTCTACTAACGGTCTGCAAAGTGACTGTACGTCGGCCGGCTTTCCATGACCAATTGGCTCAAAGCCACCCGTATCGCAGACGGTTCCTGTTCACATGACCTATTTGGGGGGCCATATACGTTAGTCCTACCCAACTGAGACACTAGACGTGTAAATAGCCTTGAAGTGACCTTGCTTAAATGTGGTTACCCAGCGCGTTTCACCCAAAAGTGTTGCAACTCCTTGTGGTAAAAACCGATGTAAAAGGTGGTTCCGAAATAGTCCGTACTAATATCTTTAGCCTTAAAAAAGCGACAAAGTTTCAAATATAATCAAGCGACTTTACGGTGAACTATTTCAATGACTTATAACGCAGCCAAACTCATACTTAGCAGTCATGCTAAGGATATTCTAGTTCAGAGGACGAAAGATGCCCTGACATTGCATGCCACATTGGAATATATTTATGAATTCACGTTCACTTGCGGATGCAAGTACTTTTGGCGCAGGCAAGGACAACTAGCAGTGAGGACAGTTGAGCATTTTCCTAAATGGCGTTTAAAGGGGGAAAATGAAATTCCCCGTTCCTCAGTTACAAAATGCATTCTTAATTGCGGCCGCTCTACTGACTGTAAACCGGCACTTCGAGTATTTGTTCGGGCAAGACAGACAAGGGCACAGAGTTACTTGGATGCAGTCTGCAAACGAGGGGAGGGGAAAGTCGACCCATGCAAAGAGTAAGGGCACGTTGTCAGCCTTAACTTGCTCTGGTAAGACTCAGTCCTTTGATTTACACAACCTCACTTATGTGTTTGCTCTCCCATTTTATTTCTTCCATATCTTTTTTAAGTTACCATTTCAATTAACAAGAGCGTGCCATAAACAAGGACCTTGTTGTTTTCGCAGTGATTTTTGGTGCACAAGTTCAACTCGTTGCATGCTCCTTAGTCGTCATTTGTGTTATGCAGCGTCAAGTTGCAACTGATAAACTGTCGTGAAATTCATTGGTATCTGTAAATGTTGCCGTTTACGCATGTACGCTTCATGTACAAGGAGAGCGAAAGAGCCTCACCAAATATATTCCGATTCGTGAGTGTTAAAAGCATCTGCTCCAACCTGGTGGAAATAAGAATGAAAATGGAATTGATCAGAAGAAGAAGAAGAAGAAGAAGAAGAAGAAGCAGAAGAAGAAGAAGAAGAAGAAGAAGAAGAAGAAGAAGAAGAAGAAGAAGAAGAAGAAGAAGAAGAAGAAGAAGAAGAAGAAGAAGAAGAAGAAGAAGAAGAAGAAGAAGAAGCGATCACTGAAACAATGACTTTATTCGCCTGACGTTTCGGGTTTTCTCTTGAACCCATCACCAGAAACAGTTGCAGAAGAACATACAACGAAGAGCGACCAGACTAGTCAGCGGATTACAGTGCCTACCTTATGGCAGCAGGCTAGAGGAGCCTAAAATTCTTCTTCTATGGATGACACAGAGGGGATATGATTTTGGTCTTTGAAATTGTCAGGTGGATAGACTGTGCTCTCCAGTTGGGCGACGTTTTTCGAACTTACACGAAGTACACCGTGGCCACCAATATAGACCGAAGATGACAATCCGACTGTCAGGAGTGACAACACCAGTCTATGCTTCACAGAGTGGGCGCAGAACGGCGGAGTTGCGCGAAGAGTGGTTTATTTTGACGGAGACTTTAGTGCTACCTACCACATCCTCTTTTATCTACCCTTCGAGGCTCTGACGGCAAGACAATATCATCACGACCGAATGCAGACTTGGGCGCATTTACTGTCAAACAAGACAGCTCATTTGCGCCTACCACAGACGATCCGGCCCCCACAACATGTTTTGGGCGGTCGTGTGGCGACTGAGATCTTAAATCAATGAGAGAGCCGCAGAGGTCACATTAGGAAGGAGCCACTGATCTTGACTCTCGGTTCATCAGTCAGTTATCGTGCACACACCTGGTACTGACTACACGGACCGAGTTACCTAGTCACTTGGCAACCTTCCGAGCCACGTCGCGTCGTGGTAGATTTAGGAGCGCCAGATCTGTTATAGTAAGGCATGTACTCATCTGTCATAGGGATGGATTCCCTAGTTTCGGCCTCACTCCTTCATCCCTTCCCCATGCACCAACTAGTCGTGAGATTATACGCGGCCTCTGACGTGACGTGAGTCCGTCCGTACGCATGTCACACACAGACAGCGTCCAACGCTTTAAGTCGACACCGGTTAATCGTAGTCATCAGAACTTGGATAAGCAGACAAAATTTCGGAATTTGGGGATACCTCTGGATCCATCAACCACGTTAAATTCCTGAAATTAAACGGGATAAGAGCCTTTTCGCTAGACGTCTCATCCCTCCTCAAAAATGTTTCCGAAACAGAGACAGTCGATTACATCAGCAAATACAGTAGATGCGCTAACTCATGAAATGTCAACCAAAATTTCGAAATTCGTTCTCGTTTCGAAAAGATAAATTAAGTATTGTTGTAAAACTAATCATGATGCAGCATAAATATATAATGACCCAGTTACCTCAGGGTGTCGGCTTTCGAAAGAACTTATTTTCGGCTGCATGCAAGATCTATACTCTGCAAAAAATGACTACATAAGTAGTATGCAATTTTACCATTGATTTTCGATGCCCTTGAAAATTCAATTATAGTTCATGAAAAACATGCATAAAAATATTCATTCTTTTACTTATTAGGTAGAAAATAACGTCTTCTTCCAATTTCCTACTCAAAAGAAGAGTATAATTCGGTTTTAAAAAAAGTTTCTAATTGTGAGATTTTTTAATACCGTCAAATGTCCGTTCATGAAACGTCATGTATCTGCATTTACGAATGTGGCTTGTAAAGTTAACAATACTGCTCAAATCCACTGCTTAATTTTATGAACTTCATATGGTCTCCTCTTAACACCGTAGAGAAATGCATGGTTTTCCGTACACGGAAAATATACAGCTCGTAGTTTTGAAACCCTGAATGCAAGTGTAACAGCAGGTCGGGTTCAAAATTATTCGGCAATTAGAAACGTTTTTTAAAACCGAATTATACTCTTCTTTTGAGTGTAAAATTGAAAGAATACGTGATTTTCTACCTAATAAGTAAAGACTGAATATTTTTATGCATGCTTTCCATGAAGTATAATTGAATTTTCAAGGGCATCGAAAATCAATGGTAAAATTGCATACTACTTATGTAGTCATTTTTTGCAGAGTATAGATCTTGCATGCAGCCGAAAATAAGTTCTTTCGAAAGCCGACACCCTGAGGTAAATGGGTCATTATATATTTATGCTGCATCATGATTAGTTTTACAACACTACTTAATTTATCTTTTCGAAACGAGAACGAATTTCGAAATTTTGGCTGACATTTCATGAATTAGCACATCTACTGTACCTATCGGTTACTCAACAGGAAATAGGACTACCACGAACGCGTTCAAAGAACTATTAAAAAATTTACAACAAATGCGTAGTTCCTTTTTAACAATCAATTATGTAGACAGATAGACGGGGTTGCTATGGTCTCGTCTCTTATTCCTCTCTTTTCCGATGTTTCCATGGGCAAGCTGGCGAAATTTCGACCAGACGACCAGATCAGTAGGCTAAGACGGTACAATTGCTACGCTGATGACATTTCGCAATTGCCACGGCAGAAAACGACATAACGCCCAGTTGGATGCTATAAATCAGGCTCTTCTGCCAATTAAATTTACTTTTGGGGTGAAATCGACGGGTTTGCCGCCCTTCGTAGACGCTCTTCTAGGTAGGAGAGCTGGCGGTAGCGTTCAAAGGAGTGTCTATTGAAAGAGAACTTTGTCAGGACAATAAATGAACGTTCGCTGCTCTGTACCCTTCATCAGAAACGTAATCCAATCCGTTCTTGGCGCAAATGGCCGAAAAATGCTTGTTCGCAGACAGCACCGATGAGGAACTGAGAGAAGACCCAGAACCCACTTCGCGTGACTGGGTATTCTGACAGATTTGCCACTAATAATGTTATTGGCAGTTTCGCTTTCACTAACTGACTTTTCACACACTGCCTTTGTTTTTTACTGGGCGGCGTTGACTGTTAAGTCCATTCTGGAGTGATCGTTCGCTTGGCTTTTCTGGACTTGGTTTTAACATGGGGTCGAGTTATCCATTGACTAGGCTCACTAAAAAACAACTCTAAGTTATAAAACGTAATACTACCCTTTCATATTCCACGGTTGAACGCACCATTGTATTACCACCACCCTTAACATAGCATGTAGTCCTCTGCATAGATAAATCGTCACGGAAAGGCTGTAACATAAAAGTCCGGCAACGGACAAAACGGTCCAACCCGGTCAACGACGAACCCCCAAGCACCACCGTGCCTTCTGGAGAAACCCCATTCTGTGTAGCAATTTAGGCTTCAAGATAGATTCTCCTTGCCTCAGTAAATAGTACCCTACTAAAGCCAGACAAAATCAACTTCGAGTACAGGTAACTTAGAGCGATATCACTTAATTTCTAAGAAATTTTCTCTCGGGGAGAGTGGTCTGTGGGCTGGTTGAATCGTATCTATCATACTATAGAAACGAACACGTCAAAACCAATATAACAACCTCCGTGTGGGATACCACATTACAAGGATGAAGTCCGTAACTTACCAGATGGCGAGTTAGCCATGGGGGATAAACAGACACACTCAGGATCAACCGGTACCCATATCAAATGGGAGGCTAAGCGTGGCGGTTCCGGCCGGCACTCCCTTTGGGAACACTAACAAAGTACTTTCGTGATTAGGAATAAACCATATACGGTCGTCAACCTCAGTCACCTCACCACGCACGAGGTGATACAGAACCACCAAACTACCCATCGCCTGTCATATATTTTGGTAATTTAGAGTCAGCCGGGAGGTTTACCCACGGCCTCCACGGATACAGTGCTCCTTGTTCTCCAACACTTATTCCCTGTAAGAACTCTAGAAAAGAAGATAAAACGGAGCTCACACAAGCACAGAGCCCCGAGAGAGGGTTTCACCAGAAGACGGAGGTATGTAACTCGAGTGAACCAACTAAAGAATCGTTTGGGACTGATTGCCCCGGACAGAAAAATGACGCGCCCACAACCATAACATTGTCTGACTGAATCGCACCACACACTTTCTCCCATACAAGATTATCTTTGAAGGAATTCCAGGCAAATTGCCAGTTACCCACACAAAACCGACGGTTAATACAGAAAAACTAGATCCTGAGGCACCGGATAGCTTTAGGATTGTTTAACAATATTGATGGCTTTCAGAAATTGTTTAATCATACATAGCCTCATCCTTATATCCTCAAAGTTTGGGCAGCTACCGCCCCAATAAATTTGGGTTAAAGTCTTGTTTTGCTTTTCCAACATGGAACCTCAGGCAACCCTTCGTAGAAATCTGAAGGAGACTAAACACCAAGTTCCCATTTGAAACCCATTGTCAATATGAAGAAATATACCTATGAGCGCTCGAAAACTGGGTAGCGGCCAAACAGGCGGCCACAGGTTTACCTCTCCCTTACCTTTCCTACTGATGCTTGTTCAGTAGGTGTGCTTGTGCATTTCTTTTGCCGACGCGGCAAAAGAAATGCACAAGCACACCTACTGAACAAACATGGTAGAGTTGAGGGGGGAGGATTCCCCTTCTACCGTTACCCAGCATTCACACCCAATAAAAAAGGCCCCGCCCCTTTTTTATGCTTATACACGTACACTTCTCCTTCTTTAAACAACATCCGGGTAGTTCACATGTGCGGCAATTGCGCTGCTAACTGTTGGGTTGCCGATTTCGTGGTTTAGGCCGGCTTCTTATCATCATCATTCGGTTAATTAAATTACAATGCATACTATTGTACAAGTCTCTCCTACCACCTCCACCGTCGCCTCCGGCACTTGCATCTCCCACCTTGCTTGGTCGAGCCCGAAACGACCACCACTTTCAGATTACGGTCAGATTACGTCCATCCCACTCATTCCACAGTTCACCTTAGGGAGGCGCAAGCTTTCCCCCTTTCATTCGTCAGACTATAACTTGTGGTGGCAGTATACTAGCGCTTCCGCCTTGGCCTCCCCTTCCAGGCGCACACATGATCACCTAACACTTCCTCACAATCTTCAGTACCAACCACCTCCCTTCCCCCTCCCCCCATTGGCTTATAACATACGTCCTGCACACACGCCTTCCACTCGAAGCAGCAGCTGCCGCAGGCTTCCGACTCTTTACCTACTGCGGTATTTACATACACTTCTAACCATCCGTCACCGTCTAGCCCACCCCTTCCCTCCCCTCCCCCAAAGGCTCATCACCTACGTCGTTCTTACCTTCAATTCCGGCAGTCATTCTCCCTTCTCCCTGCTTATACATACTATCAGCATTCGACATCTCCCTCACCAGCTGTTACCACTTCCGCCTGCATCACAGTCTACTGCCGCCGCACCCCCCCCCCGGTTTTAACCCATATTGTTCTAACCTACGCATTGCACTTGGGGCAGCCGCTACCAACGACTTCTGGCTCCCACACCACTGCCGTATTTACATAAGCCCCTACCGCTTCGCCACGAAGGAGCCCACCCCTACCTTCTTCCGTCTCATAGGCTTATCACCTATGCCGTCTCAACATCAATCTCGGCAGTCCTTCTCCCCCCCTTTTTTAACACAATCTGTCAGCATTCGACAGCTCTCTCACCAGCTGTTCCCACTTCCGCCTGCTTCACCGTTTACTGTCCCTCCTTCCCCCCCTTCACTGGTTGACCTGGCATGTCCGTCCCGGAGGGCGGTTCACGTCACCCGTCCCCCTCTACCCCGACTTATCCTTAGCGCATGCCATGGTTGACAGTTGCCTTCCGTAATCCTGCCCCTTTATGTCCCATAAGGGTTTACCGACCAGGTTTAGTGGCTGTCATTGCCTTCTTATACATGGGTGAATATGTTTACCTACCCAGCCTCCCCGGTAGTCGATCAGTCGATCTCCTAACCGTGCGTTGATGGTTCCCTTACCCTTCTTAGAGCCACTCAGTCCGCAGACAGCGTCTGTTGGATGCCATCGTTAGCCCACAACCGGTTCTCATCCTCTAACGCAGTCCTGCGGTTGAACTTTACTGCGTATCAAACCTTCCTCTAATCCGGATGCTAACCAGTATCGCGAGGCAGAACACTGCATTAGCAACATGTAACATTTACTCAAAAAATAGGAAAAGGGAACAACACACTAGAGATATAGCGTAGTACAGAAAATCGTCCCTGGCTGCCTTCCGGCAGTGGCCTACTACATTACCCCCAGTCAACAGTTCGGTGTGCTAGAAAAGGGTTAGCAGTTACATGCTTGTCATACACTGCATTACCTCAAATCGCCCTCAGTATCCTTTTCTGGTTGCGGTTATCTCCATGGCATGCAGGTAATGGTCACATTCACTGTGGGTAGGCCTGGAAAGTAAATGGAGGAAGCACAGAAACTTACCTTCACGTTTTCCGTCTGTGCCTTCGTTGGTTAGCTTATCTAATCGCCGTTGGTTGGCTCTCCTTTAATGGATAGGCTACTGCCCAATGTCGCAGGAAAGTTTCCCAGGAAGCTGCCATGTTATCGGTCCTTAGGTCGAACCAGAGGCGGTACTGAACCTCGTCGTGATGGGCCTACACTGCTCTGCCACAGACAGGACCAGACTCCCGTAGCTTCCTCCTTAATCTGCTCCAGTAGGCCTCCACGGCGTTCGTATGCCGTCCAGTTGTGGGGTTCACGAACCCCCTACTGTGATTGACAGTGTAGTGTGCGTAACCTTCCGACGGTAGGCGGGCATAACCCTTCCACTCATCGGTTACGATAACACTACCCGCAGCCACCCACTTCACTATGACGGGTCGTAGGGCTTTCCAACTGCGGTTGTTCACCTGCTCAAACAGGGCTTTCCGCCTGCTTGTATCATACATGCCGACGACCCATAACTGACGCCGCGGTCGTCCCCTGCGGTATTTGCGGCGACTTATTAGGGTCTCGTCTATCTCTACTTCCACGCCAGGTCCCCCAATTTCGGTTACAGCGGTTAGAAGTGCGTGTGAGCAGGCCCCGCGGCAAATGCTGTACCATTCCATGGCAGTATTTCTACTGACGCCTACACTTACAGCACACTGCTTGGCCCGCACACCTTCGACGAATTTTAGCAGATACGTAGAAGTGTCTGCAGACTGAGTTTGCTACCGACGAACATTGACCCCGTGCGCAGACACCGCTTTCGTCAGCAGTGTCCACAGCAGAAGGCATACCCATCGGTATGCTGCCGTAGCACTTGCATCTGTACAGTACGCCGACATCGGCATGTCAATGTAATGGCCAGCAACCTCCACCGCTGCAGGTACTGAACGACACCAGCTGACTGAAGGACTGCTTGAATTTCATCTTCGGCTGTCTGCATAACCGGCTGAGGACCGCGCCTACGTCCGCCCGAGGTCGGTGACGATCTAGGCATAAAACAGTAGGAGTTTATACTACTGCTGTTGTCAACTTATGCATATCCCTCCGCCCCCTTTTCCTTTACGTTTGCCCCAGAGTAATTCATGGCTTACCTACCAATGAGGTTTCGGGTGAATTAGGAGTAGCTTACGGATAGTAGACCATCATGCCATAACCTGCCTTTCCCTGCATTTGCGCATACTGTTTGCATCCGTCAGGCAATGTATTCTTGGTTGGGAAACATGGTGCACTTAACCTACATAGGATTTATGTATACCAATCAGTGGCCTTTCCGTTACATTGTCCTCCTCCTCCGCTGTCTACCGACCAGCTACCCTGCAGGGACTTACCTAACTGCAGATTACGCCTCTCCCCATCAAGCCTCCTCTTTCCTAGCGTACCAACAATGGGTACACAGGGCCCCCTCCTCTAACGGCCTGCTCTGAGCTCCGCTTCCGTTGGTTCCTACGTCAGACGAATCTAAATCCCTTTCCTTTTTTTAAATGGAGTCCTCGACAGGCGCATGTATTTAAAGTTCTCCATAGGTTGGGTTTGACGCAGTCCAGGGGCAGTAAGATTTTTGATCGGTTCTGCACTTTCCAACTGATAATCGCATTAACATATTCCTACAAAAGGGATTTGATGCAGACAGGTAACAGCATGATTTTCGAGCGGTGGTGCACTTACTCACTGCCAACGGACGGTGATTGGGGCATCTGACAGGGCGCAGTTCTCCGGAGGCTCCCGCCCGCACTACCCAATAACCTAAATGTAAAGTTAAAAAGGGTTACTTAGGTATGCAAACTGCTCCCACCATGACCACGTACAAATCCAGCAAACCAGTGTACTTACACACGGCAGCCGACCGCTTCCGGAGTTTGCCGACCTGCGGTAGGTTGGTGCGGCGGTGTTGGAGAACGTCCAGGTATCCTAAACATTTTGCACGTTATGTGTTTTAAACGGTGTATACGCTGGAGGCCGTAGGTTAACAACTTCAAAATCTAGCGAATCAGCAAACTTACACACGGCGGCCAACCATTTCGGGAGTTCGCCGATCGGCCGTAGGTTGGTGTGGCGGCGTAGGAGAATGTCCAGGTACCCTAAACATTTTTCGGCGTTATGCTTAATAAACGGTGCATGTGCCAGCGGTCGCCGGTATAACAACTTACAAATCTACCTATACAGCGAACTTACACCCGGCAGCCACCCGCTACGGGAGTTTGTTGACCTGCTGTAGGTTGGTGCGGCGGTGTTGGAGAACGTCCCGGTATCCTAAACATTTTTCGCGTTATGTGTCTTAAACGGTGCATGCGCTGGAGGTCGTCGAGTTACAACATGAAAATCTAGCTAAACTGCGAACTTACACCCGGCTGTCAGCCGTTTGGGGAGTTTGCCCATCGGCTGCAGGTTGGTGTGGCGGCGTAGGAGAACGTCCAGGTATCCTAAACATTTTTTGTGTTATGCGTCGTAAACGGTGTATGCTCTGCAGGTCGACCGCTAACAACTTAGAAATATACCGAAACCGCAAACTTACACCCGGTCATCAACCCGTTCGCCAGTTCGCGGATCGGCTGCAGGTTGGTGTGGCGGCGTAGGAGTACGTCCAGGTAACCTATACACTTTCGGCGTTATGCATATTAAACGGTGCATGCGGTGGAGTTCACCGACATAATACAGATGGAAGGGGGTGCGGAGGGGGTTAGTAAGGGGCGGGGAATTGTGGTATTTATCATAAGTCGTAAATTCAAACACCCTTAACCAACCACAGCACTCTGATGTCCTTTCCCGTCCCGCTTGCGCATCTTGTGTTCCTCACCCATCTGCTGCAGACTAAATCAAGGGTGGCGCCCATTATCCCATTGGTTAACCGCTTGGCGGTTCAGGTTGACTCATCTTGGCCGCCAATCATATCAAGTTCCCCCCTACCCCTCATGCCATTGGGGTACTGCTTCTTTGCACGCCATCCTACCGTATTTTTCACTTCATTAAAACAAATAATTATTTCGCTGCGACTTCCAACATTTTTCAACATTCAGCCGCCAATCCAGTGCCCCTTGCAAGTTTCCCCGCCCGTTCTTCCCCTCAAAACCGCCTTCCCGTTGTACCCGACTCACCTCGACATGTTTTCTCGGTGTGGCCGCGTATTTGGCCTCCGCCGAAAACTGTAACAATTTTGTCTCGTTACGGATCGCTTTTTCCTGTTCTTGGTGCCCTTTTGAGGGAAAATTGTCAACACTTACGTCTCAGTACTGTGAAAAGCTCATGCTTCTCATCCATCTAGTTGATAGTGAGACCGAAGACAGGCACAAACGAAGTTTTTACTTTATTTAAAAAACGTTCCTAAGAATAGACAGCCAATCGATGTCGCCTTCCATTTCCTTACTCTTATGGCTTCAAGTTTAAGGTCGCTGAAGTTAAAAGACTTTCATCCAGGAGTGAAAATGCACCAATTCTTTTCAAATTATTTTCGTCGATAGCAGTGGGCTTTATGTTCTTCCATTTGGAGCGCTCAGCTCAATATCTTTGAGGAAATAAACTCTTTATTAGTCGGAATAAAACTCCATTGCAACGAAAAGTTTTTCCCCCATTAACAAACGTACAGCCACCCCAGAATTCTACCCATCTGCCGTTTGCCTCTAAAGCAGATTTTCCATCGCGCTTCAACCAAATCTTTCCCCTATCTGCAGCGGCCCCAGTTCCATTAAGCGCTTCATTTGAGCACATTATCACTAAGTTGAACCAGTCACTTTAAAACGCCACCAAAAGCACGGATTGGTCAAATGCTGTTGCCAAATTTACTAGGACACTTGGTCTTAACGGTAAAGATGGACCAATCCTTGAAGCACAATCGGCCTCCAAGACTCAGAGTAGTGAGTAGTTAATAAACCTGGGTCAAATCCATCCCGTTACCGCGACAGGTCACTAAAGTCTGACTTAGCGGTAAGATCAAATAAGCCAGATAGTAGTCCAGGAAGATCTTTACCTGTTCCTATCCCTAATTCTCAAGTTAACGAAAACACCACAGTTGTGAAGCCCACTAGCACACCAGCCAGTAAAATACAAGTATACAATGTTACCGGTTGTTTTTACAACCCCACTGCTGGCCTGGCACTCCAAATAATAAAGCCTTCTCCTAATGTAAGCTGTTTCTCGAAACCATTTGGTCCGTTATCTAACATAAATTGGCCTTTATATTGTTCTCACAAGTCACAACATCCACTTTTTATGCCTCCTGTCTTTCCAACCCTACGAAATAGCATTCACCTTCGTGGGCCCTGGGCAGATGTGTTTCCATACAATTCTGCATCTTTAGTTAGTAGTAATATCCCCACGAATTTCAGACCACAGAAACTTGGTTTTCCACCTTTTACTTCAACTCTACAGCTTAAATTTCCGCCACCAACTCTTCCTTTATTTATAAGAAATAGAGGGCAGAACCTACGTCTTAGGAATACGTTCAGTTTAGTCTCTCAGCGCAAGATCGGTCGTGCAAAAGATGTCACAACTAAGAAGATTGGCATATGAGTTTGACCCATACGATTTGTAAATTACAGAATGTTGGGCCCACTCTCTAATTTCAGACTCGGCACTCAATATAGATAGCCTCAGTTTATACCGCCAGGATCGCGTTGAAAGGCGCGGCGATGGCTGCATTCCCTACATCAGAGCCTTACTTGCACATTCGCCTTATGGCCTTAACATTTCCTCCTTCTCTGTAAATCTCTGCTTCGTTTCGGTATTTTTTTTTCACAAAATACAAAAGCCTTGGTGTGATGTATATATAATCCTCCTCGTTACTACGGAATTGAAAGCCAACTCTGTGAACTCTTTGAAAAAATCGCACAAACTTCATTCGATGTCATGATGATCGTAGGCGATTTTAACATACCAGAACTTGACTGGCACACACATACTTCCTCTCCTGAATTCCAGAAGCTTACAGACATCATTCACTTTTCAAACTTGTCTCAATTAGTCCACTCTTTGGCCAGAAACGATAGTGTATTATATTAAGTTGATATTAACAGCATCCCCCTCTATTTATGGATTTTCATCGTGGCCTTTTTAAAAGTGATCATGCATTAATTTATTGTTGTCTTCCCGTTGCCATTTTTTGCAAAGCCAACGGTGAAACGCAGCTTTTTGACTTTATTAACGTTGGCAAGGAATTCGTATATCTTTACAAACACTCTCGATTGGCATAACACTTTTTGAAATACTGATCAAAATTTTTGCTACGGCTTATTACAGTGCGTAACAGTTGGTCTTCTTGAACTTACTCTCCGGAAGGCGTTTAAATCGAGTGCCACTTCCCCCACTGTCCCACATTTTTCTTAAGGACAGACTTGAAATTCTACGGAAGCAGGTTAAAGATCCATCCAAAAGCTCATTATCGGTTCCCTTAAGAATCGCTGAAATATTTGAATTAGCTTCGAAAATGACACTTGCCCGAGATAGCCATAGAGAGTCTTTAGCTTCTAGTGGTCCGAGTCCTTCTAGATCTGTTGGTCAGGTCTTCCGTCAAAGGTCATCGGTTAAGTTTCACCAAATCATTCCACCTTCGTTTAGTTCCTACAATGCCTCCATAACAAAGGAGTCGGGAAAAGCAGAAGTTTTAAATTCCATCTTTGCTGAACATGCTAACATTGAGACTGGTCCAATCCCTTCAATTCTTCCGTCGTCTGATGCTTCCCTCGTAACCATTAATTTTGCTCCTGCAAATATTCAGAACCTGATAAGCCAGTTTACTAACTCGCACTCAGTGGAAACTTACTTCTCTAGGTACTGTTCATTTATGTGTTGTCGCTATTTATATTGCTCTTAGTAACGCCTTTGGTAGGGTGCCACTTAGGAGATTCTTAGTTAAATTAAAAGCGCTAATACTTCGCAGTCCCCTTATTGACTTTATCAACTCATACCAGTCTAATCGTAAACAAATGGTTTTACAGGGATTTTCCTTTTCCAATGAGAGCCCTATTGCAAGTGGTGTCCTACTAGGTACTGTTTAGGTCCTCGTTTGCTCCTGCTTTCTACAAATGACATCTCCTTGGCAGATAAACATTCTCAATCCTTCATTTATGCTGATGATCTCAAATGCGAATATTCCTTCTCTAGATCTACGACCAAGAATTGCCTGAAACAGATCCACGCTAACTTGCTTGCTTGTTCCCCGTGGAGCTCAAATGACTAATAAAATTCTCTCCGTCTAAATCTCGTTATATGTATTTTGAACTTGAAAGGCTACCCCATCCAGTGTTCATTCAAGGCACACCTATGAGTGAATGTGCAACATCCAAGGATTTAGGTTTAAGCTGCACCAATAATCTAGATTTCTCGTCACACGCCGACAGAATTACGGCCAAAGACGCCCAGATTTGTGGATTTATTTCCCACGATTTATATCTTCCTTAAATTAAGCTAAGTATACCAAATGCTTGCACTTCCCATTCTCGAGTATTGTTGACCATTCTTTGGTTTGATGGACGCGGATAGCCGTTCAAAAATGGAAAGTGTTCAAAGATATTCTCCTAGAAGACGCTTAAGTACGATACACCCAAAAATGTTCAACTCAGATAGATGTCCGTTAATAAACCTAAAATTTTTTATGGTTTTGAAGACAAGAAGCAAGCTTCTGTCTCCTCTTTCGTATTAATAATAGTTCAAATCTTCCTTGGATCACAGCCCTTACCCCTATTAGTCGCCCGTACAATCTTCGCAATTCTTCCTTAGTTATACCTCCCCCTTCTTCCTCCACTTCTAAGCGTTCCCTTTTTTCGCGTTCATGTATACCTTTATCGAGAATAACTTTCCAATAGATACAAGATTTTCAGATAATCTACACACATGTAAGAGAAAGTTACGCCTTTATCTGCATACTGACTCGATTAAACTTTTGTTTTCCTCATCCTTCCCGGACAACGCTCTCCGCGACAGTGAGGAAGGGCTACTGGGAATTTAGGACGCCGCTGCTAAGTCTCCGTATACGCTCGCATTTCCTTCTTTTGAGTGTGGTCTCGCTTTCCAGGATATCTCATCAGAAATTTCGGTTTTTCGATTTTTCAGCCCATGAATTGTGTCTTCGCAGGGCGCGATATCCCTTCTGTAAAATCCTCTCAAAGGAGTAACGGGGTTTGGTTGAGGTGGGCGTCCTAAGCCGCCTAGGTTTCGCTGGTTGTCGACCATTATCAGAACTCTACTGTGGTCCTTGAGGTTTTGAACTCTCTTTCCCGATGGACTAGTTACGAGGTTCTTGATGTCAACTCCTCATCTCGACCACGAGTAGATTGTTGACGATGACAGCGTGTATCGTCTGTTTTCGCCATTTGCTAGTAGTGTGGTAGTGCAACGAAGAGGTCTTAAGTTCGCATTCTCCCCTGTACGCTATTAGTGTTCCCTTCCTTAGCTATAATCTAAGCGGCCTGTGCCGATCACGATTAGATTCCCCTGTCTTGCCACTTGGAGGCAGATAACCCCTTTCGGTTTAGAATGCTCGGCCTTGACAATATACGTTTCGAATCTCTTATAAAATACCATATGCTGGGCAGTCTTGTTCGACCCGCATATTTTCTCTTTCATGAGCGGAAATTTTGCCTCCTTAAAAGTTAACTAATTCGTACTTATCTGTTTTTTTTCATAATGTGTCTTTCATTAGAAGAAGAAAATTGGCTCTCCGGAACAGGTTTATTTAACTGCTGACGTTTCAAAGAGCTGGGTCGGCTCTTCATTGTCAAAGCGTAAACTGCACCTAATCGATCAGAAATTTAATTTAAAGTGGCAAGCTGTGTTGGCCGGCCTCATGCTGATCGATTTTTTTCTCTCC